CTCAAAAGGAGAGATGTTTCTCAATCTATTTTTCTCTGGTTCTACAACATTACTGCACTATTAGATAGAAGATAATCTTTGGCTTTATACACAACTAAGTTTTGAATTCTTTCTTCTTGTACTTTTGAAATAACGAAGGGCTCTTTAAAGCAGGTGGAAAGTATTTTTCAGGACGCAGTACAATATACTTACGTGTGGACTGATATAGCTGTACAGTGAGCAGTAATAGTACCGTCTGTTTCCACTAGGAATCCCATCAGCAGTACAGGTGACACACACCCTGTTGTTGTTCTCACACAACCGAGGTGACTCACACACAGGGGTATAATAAGTAACGGCTGGGTGGAAAGAGAGCCAGAAACATTTTTAACAAATATTTCAATCTATACTGAAGAGGGAACTCCTTGGTCTATGCTGATTACGACTTGCTTATATTAATATTATTTTTATTTTTTTTAATTTGTTAAACGAAAATAAAAGTTGTCAATAACATTGCGTGTAAAACCTTTCGTCACCACTGCCATAATGACTGCCTTGTTAATAATAAGAAAGTCAAGATCAGAAAATGGTGGGTATCTGGAAAAAAAGGGAGGGTGGGATGGACGAGAACATAGGAAAACGAGTAAAAGTAAGTGGGGTTTGTTTGTTTGTTTGTTTGTTTGTTTTGGGTTTAATCGGGAGAGGGGGGAGGGAAGAAGTTGTGTGTGTATGTGCGTGTGTGTGTGTGTGTGTGTGTGTGTGTGTGTGTGTGTGTGTGTGTGTGTGTGTGTGTGTGTGCGTTATTAAGTTAAAATTAGATCTTATTTACTTTTTAAATTCTTTACTTTTTCTCCTTTCTATTTTAAGGGGCGAGGGGGAGATTTCACGTTTTTTTATGGGAGGGGGTAACTGTGAGTGAGTGTACAAATCATGACGTTAACGATGATGATAACAATGATATCATCACCAGGAGCAGCAGTAGCAGCGGCAGCATCGATAACAACAGTTGTAAAAGGTAGACTTTTAGAGAGCCTTCAAAACAACCCCTAAAACATTTAATTCATTTAAGTTTTTAAAATAAATTTTCCTTTGAATCTGGCTTTAAAAAATATGATAGGACAAATTATCATTGATCTCAATGAAGACGGATTTGCAGCGACATCGGAAATACTTACGCGCAAATGCGCTTATCAAAAATCACTCTCTCTCTCTTTCCCCCTGCCCTCCCCCCATATCTC